GGACACAAATAGGGATACATCATCAATGGAGTCATATCCTGTTTATTGATGCAAGTCGTTTCAGTCTGAGAAAAGATTCTCGGCGCCATTTGATATGGAGAGAGGCAAGGACATGCTTTCATTCCAACAACATCAGGGAAAGAGACTGTGTGGCTGATCCTGGCGTACTTGTATGAGGAGGCATTATGATGAATGGACGGACAGAGCTCTACATTTTCGACAGATGTTCACTTACCGGAGATTGTTATTGTGAAGATGTTACCTCCCCCCCCACGTCTTTTCCGGAGTTCTATCGGTCCCGATTTTATGGATGGCAATGCATGGCCACATACAGGACTCATGCTGTTCAGTAGCTCCTGAAAAGTGAAGATACCTACAGAATGGACTGCCAGCGTTCTCACATGATTTAAATCCCATTGAACATGTGTGGCATACTAGGGAGGCCCTTAGCAGCACAATCTTAGCTTACCGTGGAACACCAGATAACTGAAATAGATACTTCTTGAAGAATGACCACTCTTATCCCAAAAGCTGTAAGATAATTTTTTCATTGAGTATCAACAGGTGGTACAAAAGCAACCATTCCAATTATGGGAGTAACAAATGTCTGCACGACGACCTTAAAATGGAACCGTTAGCGACGTTATTCAGAAAACTCAATGAACGCTTCTGTTAGGAAGCACAAGAATGTAATATGATGAACCACTTTGAACTTTTCAGCTACGAGATTCTTCTTGAGGACAGCCATCTTCGCCTTTTTGCGGCTTTCATGCTTAGCGATAATCAAAATTTTCCTACATAAAGCTTAAATGTGCTTTCGCATCTGTTCTGTCCAAAATCTCAGCTGAATATGTGTTTATAGCATGATTTTGACTTCATCCTCATCACTCATGTAATGCAAAGCAAATGGTTTTAAATTTTCTGTATATTGTCTTCCAGTTTATGCGAAAACTTTGTATTTTATGCATTATATCTTATCTCCAGGAGTCACCTGGGCATTTCTGTCTCTGCATAGCTACATGAAGCAACCAAGTGAAGATAGCCGATACACAGCTTGCAGCTTTGCAAGCTAGATGCGGTGGCAACGTCAAACCGGAACGGAAACGGAACTTTGAGAGAAAGAATTACGATTCCTGAGTAGCGAGCGTTTGTCTTTGGGCTACGTCTCTCTAAGCTCTTACTACGCTCGGCCGTATAACGTATCTTTTGACAGTTAATTTAATTTGATAGTTAAGCTGGCTAATTTAATATTACGGGGCAACTAGTTTGGAACTGTGTTTCAGATGTTAAATAATCAAAAAATGTTCAAATCTATCAATTATTTCTAGAATTATTACTAATTATTTTAATGAAGCATTATTTCTGAGTAAACATTCACCTTGAGTGGAAAAACCAATAAACTTTATTTTTGACTTGTAAAATACGATGGGATTCTTTGAAAAATACAGTGTTTACAGCGTAATAGTCGCACTTTGTTTTGCCATTTTTTCATTGCAAAAGTCTAGGTGCGACTATTATGCCGGGAAATCTACTACACAATATTGTACACTTTTGAGGGTTTTTTTTTTTTTTTTTTTTTTTTTTTTTTTTTTCCTGTTTCAAAACTGGGGTGCGACTATTACGCGAGAGCAACTACTACACTAGTAAATGTGGTAGCATAATAATAAAATACAGTGTTAGAAAGAAAATTTACTGACAGTAATATTTTGTAATTAGCATAGAAATCTAAATTTCTATCATACATTAGATGCTTTTAAAGCGTATTGTAAATGAAACAACATAAATGGTAATATATAAGGTAAAAATTTGGATTTCAGTTAAAAATAAGACACGCAAATCGCATATTAATTGAGGGAAAAAAATTCTGAATAAACACCAGTCCCTCTGTTTTATGCAATAAATGCCTCAGATTTATATGCGACAAATCTTTTGAAGAGAAATCAGAAAGAAAAAGGCAAATGGACTTTATCAAAAGAACAGATGAGCAGTCTGTTTACGCACAGAAATGTGAATTTGATTGTTTTCTCCTTTCCATTTACGAGTCATTAACAACAGTTGAGAAGGAATCTGATGCAACAACAAAACACTTTCCCTCTCTAAATTACGGAATTTAATGAAGTGTACCCGTAAAATGCACTGCGAAAGAAAAAAATAAGTGCTAATAATAACGGAAAAAGCAGACAAATTTCAAAGAAGCCTATGACGTAATCTCTTTCATATGAAGTTTGGAATTTAAAAACGAAAATTATACACTCCATAATACAAACGGGAGGGATAACAAAGGGTTTTTCACAATTTGAATCCGAGAAATCTACGTTTAAAACAGGTCTAGTGTTTAGAGCATTTTAGCTTGCTTCTGCATGTGGTAATGGGTGGGCGCAGACAACTAAAAAAGCCTTCAGAAATTATTTGATATTCTGGTATTTGAATATCTGATATTCTTTATGTGCAGAAAATTCAAAATATGGTGACCACAGTGAATCATAGGATGGTTCTTGTAGCTAAAATTATATCATTTAACTTGTCTGTTGAAGAAAAAGGGTAGGAAAATGAACAATGACTGTCTGGGAGTCCCTAAAATTCCACAGTTAATGTGGTTAATGTTCCCCAGCGACAGTAAGGAAATATCCTTCAAAGAATAGAAGCGTCTTTTGTCATGATGAATTAGATAGCAACGCCACTTTAAGATAAGATAAAGAACTGTCAGAAAATCCGTTTCTTGCTACGCGGAGGTTACTTAAACCCTTCCAAAAAAAGCGTTAAACCCTTTTACATTATCATATAGTGTAGGTTCATGTCTGTGTACTGCTCAACGTGACAAAAACTGTTAAGTTGATCGAAGTAATTAACGCGAATCGTTCTTCTTTTTTTGGACATGATATATAAACTGCAAATTGCAGTTTTTTTGCTTGGAAGCCTTTTGCAAGGTATGTAAATTTAATAGGTTAATTAATTAAATATTGCTGAATGTAAATATGAGATTTTATTTTACTAACGAAACAGCAATGAAAGCAAATAGAAAATATGCTTTTTGTAATTATCCTTATCTAACCGTTGTTTGATAACTGATTTGAAGCATGTGAAGGTAATTATTTTAAACGAAAGTGGAAAAGTTTATTGTTGTCATTGGTTGTCAGTTTGCTTTAAATTTAAGCAACGCAGAATTACTGCAGTAGTAACCTTATGTATAAAATATTTTCAAAATGAAGGATGTCAGAAGTATTACATTACGATAAAACAAAATTTGTATGTTAAAGTATCCGAGTAAAGGAATTTTCAGTTCTTAAAAATTTTTAATGAAGAACAATACCCGGAGTTAAGCTTTTTGTACATGGAACTTGAATGTAAACTAAATTATTTAAAAATAAACGCTTTTATTGTCTTAAGAAAGAATTTCATTTAAGAATAAACTCTATTTTTTTTAATTAACGCTTAAGAATAAACGCTTTTGCAGAGTAAAATAGTATGCAGAGTAAAATAATATTTTGTAGTATGATGAGTAAATTAATTTATTAGAGTAAAATAGAGTTTTGTAGTATAAAAAATAGATTGATGTTTTGTGAGAAAAAAGTTAATTTTACTTTTACAGATGTGAATAAATTACAAGACTCAAAAGGAAAATTTTCAAAAATAATTAGATCTAGTTTATTGAATTTAAGCATTTTACTATACCGACAATAATTTAATATTTACCTTGCAAACTTTTCGCTTTTCGGGTCATTTGGTATATTTAGGCACCCATTCAGTTTAGGATTTATAATTTTTATCACACATATATATTATACGGCATTTTTGGGGTACGATTTTAGATGTATTTCCCTTCGTTGATTACTTATTATTTTTCCCTTCGTAAATGACCCTAAATTTTCGACTGGATTTCATATCCAGATTATTTCTTACATAAGGCAATATTTTTACATTAATTATAGCATAAAAATTAGAAGTACTCTCCGCTGTGTGTCATTTTGGATGAAAAAATATTTTTTCCTTCTCATAATGCGATTTTCACATCAGTCTTTTATTTGAGTACTCATATTTTTAAAGATTTGGTGCATTGTTCTTATCTTAGAGTTATTTCTGCAGTACATAACTTTCCTAGAACATTATTATTCGTGACAATCCAGACCATTACTGAAATTCAGCATAAAAGCATCTTCTGATTTCCTACAAACATATTGTCATACTTCTTTCTTAATACAGAAGATCAGTTCGTGCTCATATATACATAAAAGTAATCAAGCAAATTTCGTATTTTCTGGCAGAAAATACGCAAATATACTGAAAAATTCGATTAAAAAATTAAAATAACAGATATAAAATGTAGCTGATTAATACTCATTCAGATATCTTAAAATACGAAAGAATATTTTACATATTTATCCTATTTTATAATACTACATCGTCAATCTTTTTAGTCTAAATACATCAGCTTTTAGCCACACTAGCTTAATTTCAGCCTTACTGCGGCAACAGTTTGATGCGCTGAAGATAAAAATGTTTACTTCGAACAGTATTACCAGTGCCCGCTTTCAAATTGCTGAATTTGATAACAGAGATTAAATTACAAAATATGAAATGAATAGAAAACAAATTCGAATTTCAAAATTTGGAATTCAAAGTACACATATTCTGGCGGAGAACTATGTTTATACAAAATTTGGTGGCTCTAGGAACTATAGTTTTTCCACAATGCGAAGAATGCACTAATATGAACAAAAATATTCTTCATTATTTAAGAGTAGAGATAATACTATTTATTATATATAAATAAAACGCGTTTATTAACTATAATAAACATTAAATTTAGGCACGCTTTTACAATACACTAAAATAAGAATATTTCAGTTTTAAATTTGACACATTATTTGAAACGTTCTGTTTAAAAGAACCAGGAGAAAGAGATAGTTTGTCCTATGAAATGAGGAGGAAGGAGTGAAGCAATAAAAATTCAGAACAACTACCCTAGTTTAAAATCCTGTCTTAAAAACCCTATTTTAAAACGAAATGTTGAGGAAGACGTATGTAAACTCATATGATGGGAAAAATTTTAAATGAGGCTGCGAATTCCTTGCAAATAATTTTAAAATGTCCCAATCCCTTTTTGTTTTAGATTAATAAAATGAATTAATTCTGTATGCAAAACCAATTTATAAAAAGGTGAAGGAGAAACAGCTTTTACAAAAGAGAGGAGATTTCTGTAGAAGTTTTAATTTTTTTTTTTGCGAATAATTCGTTACAGCAAGAGGAGGCAGTTCAATAAATAAATAATTAAAATAAAGTTTAGAGAAATAAGGGAGTAAGAAAACGAATACGTAATGGCATCATAACTTTGGGTTTCCGTGCGATGCGAAAAGAAGAACTGACACTTCCCCTTCTGCTTCATACTATCGCATATTAGAAAATCATTCAACAAATATCATTTTATCATTCTTGCTTTAATACAGGATGAAAACTTTACATATATATAAATATACACTAATGTTTGTGAACATTGCAACACCATGCAGGAATTATAAAAATTGAACCAAACTTATAGAAAACTTAAAGACATGCAAATGATTAGAATTAGAAAGTAATTGCTTATTCCGCTTGTTTTATGTATATAAGGGACTGTAAAGTTGTGTTGAAATCTGCTTTTCGTCCTCTGTATGCGGTGAACATTTAATTAATGCTCATTATGCCTCATCAACAGCGGAGGATGCCATATGAACAAATAATGGAGTTCAAAACGAATCCGCATCGTCGGCATGCGAGAGGGTAGACTTTCGTAACGAGCAATCGCAGCCTGCACGCAGCACAGAGCATTGCCGCAGCAATGATGCGTGCTTGAAAGGAATGGATAGAGGAGAACCAAAAAAACGCAAAGCAATGGGGCACGCTATAACACAATAGCACGAGACGATAGATACCTTATCCGCATAACTGTGATGGATCGCACAGTGTGCTTTCCTGTGTTAGCATAACGTTGGAGCGCCGCTGCAGGCGTTGTGTTGTCTAGCTCCATGGTTTGTCGCCGTCTGCTGCAGCGTGAACTGCGTGCAAGGATTTCCTCCAAGCAGGATTGCCCTGTTTCTGAATCACAGACACCTCCCACTTCAATGGACACGGCAACACAAATGCGTGGCGTGCCCTGTGGCAACAAGTTGTTTTCTCAGACGAATCTGGCAACAAGCTGAAGTACAGTGATGGAAGAGTACGGGTCAGATGCTACAAAGGCGAACGTCTGCTCCCACAGTTTGTTATCCAGCGCCATACTATACAAATGCCTGGCATCGTGGTGTGGATATCTATTGATTATACTTGTCGATCTCTTCTAGTGCAGACTGCGGGCAACCTCAGCAGTGATCTCTACAAAAGAAGTTGTGGAGCCAGAAGACCTTCCCGTTCTTCGACGCATTCGGACACTGTATTTCAGCAGGATAATGACCGCGCACATGTTTCTCTGACTTCACAAGCCTTCTTTAAGGCACAACAGGTTTCGCTTCTTCCATGGCCTGCTTATTCTCTGAATAAGCAGCCCATTGAGCATGTCTGAGATTTTATCGGTCGGCGACTCGTTCGTACGGCTGGAACGGCAAACACTAAAACTCAATTTTGGCGTCATCTCGAAGCCATAGAGTACCATTCACCACGTTTACTTTCAGAACCTGTATAATTCATTGCCGCGACATATACAGGCTCTCATCACTCAGCGTGGTGGACACACAAAGTACCTATTTTTGCCGTTCGTTTTGATTTTTTATCTTGTAAATTTGATCGCTTATTTGTACTACCATCATTAATATGTGGAATAATTTTCATTCATTTCTAACAATTCCTTCATGATGCAGCAAAATTTTTCACAAACATTAGTGTATGTTTATAACATAAGAAGAATAGGAATGCTAAAGTAGGTAAAAGTTTCAAATTATCTGTTACTTATTTTGTAATTTTTTGCATCAAATTGACGAAATTTTAATGCAGATTTTTTTTAATTTGTCAATTGTATTTCAAATTATACCTTCTGTTTACATTTTATTTTCATCATTACAATACTTTTATTTAATGTAAACAACTTTTAAATTTGGAAGACTAGATTAACAATAGGGATATTTTTCTGAACTATCTGAGAATTTTTCAGATCGATAAAAAACGTTAATCAATATTCCCTAATTCTTGAACGGTTTAATAAAAAAAACGCCTACCTCTTGATGACGTCAGCCTTGTTTCGTTAATAATTAAATCATTGATAGTTAATTATCATTTTTATTTCTTTTTGCATTTTTAATTAATTCAATTGATTTTATTTCAGTACAACGGTATGTAGCCTTAAGTAAATATACATAGTTTTTCATACATATTTATTTCCACAAATAATTCCGGATTTAAAAATCTATAATTTTAATATTAAATTATTTATTTAATTTTATGTATGTATATATAGATATAGATATATAAAATCAGTGGGAATTTCAAAACTTTGTAATAAATACATTTTTAGAAACAGAAATTTTAAAATAATGTACCTTAAATAGTGGAAAAAATAGAGAAATTTTCAAAAATTTGCCAAAAAGTCAGAAACTGCGTTAAAAGTTTCATACAAATTTCATTTAAATAATTTTTCTTTTCTGATCTATGCGAAGATGCAAACAGTAAAATTCTAGAATTTTGTTTCGTTGTTAAGCGAAAATATATGTAAAAAGTGTTTCACCAAAAGATTAAAAATAAATAAATGAAGAGGATTTTGAAAAATTTTGCTTCACCGCATTGCATTATCATCCGCGAAACAATGCATACACAACTTTGCACTCGATAGCTTGTCAGAAAGCTGTTTCAAATTCGATAACAAACGATTGACTAGAACAAACACTGTGAAAGTGCTAAGTAAAGTTTAAATTAGAGCATTCAGTTTTACAGAGATGAATCAGTTTTCTTCATGTTTGGCTGG